AAAAAAAAAAAAAAAACAGTTGTAAACCAGCAGCAACATGAATTATTATTATTTCTGGTTCATTTCTTACTTAGCATATGTGTAACAGCTCATAACAATCACAGACATTAGACGGACATTTTATCCCTGAAATGATTTTTATCAACACTTCAAATGAGAAACTAAAAGAGCAATCTCCTAAAAACATTGGTTGATATAATGCACATGTTTTTCCTTTTGTTCTATTTTAAGTATATAGTACTGGATCTTGCAGAGAAAGTTGTCAGAACGGTTAAATCTTGATGCTTCTTAAAGGTTAATCTAATTGAAGCTCGAACCAGCAGCAACTAAAATGACCGGTGGAAGTTAATCACGAGTCACCAGTCTCATTTTATTTATATACAGAAGAAATGGGAGCATCATGATAGATGAGACAGAGAATTATAATATCCAGGCAGATCCATTCAAGATGCATGTCCTTTAAATATTAGTTCAATCTTTTATAAATGTTTCTTGGTTATTCTCTAGGGGCAATATAAACTTCACAGTCCTTGAAAAAAAAAAAATCAACTGTTATGGTTTGGTTGGCTTTAGGAAAACTTTTCATTATTAGTTTGTAGCCCAAGCTTCATGGACCATTCCTTCCTGTGGAAGTCACTGCGTTCCCCCTGCACCCATAAACACGGTGTTGATGGGTGGCAGTGAGGAAACCAGGTCCTGTACCTCTGAGGACGGCGTCCCGCGCTGCTGGGACATCAGAGCGTCCTGTGAGCTGAACGGAGAGGGAAGGCCGAACATGCAGGTGGCGGATCCGGACGAGGGCAGGGAATGACCTGTGGAGAATTAGAATAGTTTCTAACTGACCATTTTTACTCATATAAACGAGGAATTAGACTCCAGTTCCACTTTGCTCTCAATGAAAAGAAGTTGGCAATATTTCTGTTGACTAAATGCAACAGAAATTATAAAGATATATTTTTTTATATCAGTTTCTACAAACTCAGAGGTTTACATACTGTACAGTTCCTCAGTATTGTGCCTGAATTGGCTCAAAGGTTTACTGGAGTTTGACCCAATCTTCCTGACAGAACCGCTGCAAGTGGCTCAGGTTTACTGACTGCCTTGCTCACAAGCACCTTTTTAGCTCTGCCACATGGTTTCTACACTACAGGAGTGAGATCAAGGCTTTGAGGTGGCCACTCAATATTTGCTTCAATATTTCCACATCAGGTTCTGTCCTTATAAGGCCATCTATTTTGTGAAGCGCATCAGTCCCTCCTGCAGCATGCATGCATGATGCTACCACCTCCGTACTTCACAATCAGAATGAGGGTCCCTTCCAAATATAACAGTGGTGATTAGTGTTGTTATATATAAGCCCTGTGTATTCACTCTGATGCTCGGAGTTCACTCATTTCTCCTTGTACATAGCAATCCATACATACATAAATATATACATAAATGCTGAATTTTCTTTTACCACAAAACTTAAAAACTCTTTATAGTAATTTCCATCCCCAACAAGCTGGCCAGAGAAGAGAGCTCAGTAGGATTTTCCAGCGCTGCCTATGCTGGAGGTCTGGCGCGCCAAACAAAAACTGCACATTTTAGTAGGATCATACTCCTGATGAACTGACTGCACAGATGATGTTTTGAGGTCGATTTACTCACTTAAAAAAGTGTTAAAACTATTTTTCCAACTAATCAAACTAAATAAAGCCAAGCTGCTCTCTAGATTGAAGCTAGAGAACAGAGCAGATAAACAACCAGAGGGCCATGCAGCCAGAGCGTTGCATCTGACCCACAGTCCACATTTCGGCATTTGAGCGTACTTGATGCCCGAAACACTTTCGGTGTGAACTTAACTTTAGGTGATCTGCAGCTGACTTTGAGTGTATGCTTTAGCACAGGTAACAGAAAACACTTTTTGAAAACATACTTTTTTTTTTTTATCCAAGTCTAGGCCTGGGACAAGGTAGTTTAGGTGTGGTGTAAAGTTTGTTTTGCTTTAAATCAACCCAAGAAACAACCCAAAAAGTCATTTTTTTCTTAAAATAAGTGCATTTTTTTTCTTGAATTGAAGGGGTAAGTGCGACACTTTGCAAATCTATTTATCTTATTTTAAGTGTAAATATACTCATTCCATTGGCAAACAAATCTTATTTTCCTGCTCAAATTAAGGGAAAATATACTTGATTTAATAAATTTTTACTAAATTTCAGATCATTTTTGCAGTGTATAATTCACTGGAAAAACATCAATATCTAGAAAAGTCATTTTTTTTCTTTAAATACGTGCATTTGTTCTTGAATTGAGAAGGTAAAAGAGAGATTTTGCCAATGGAATAAGACGATGTACATTTAAAATAAGAAAAAACTTTTGCATTTTCTTATTTCAAGTGCGTAAACATCATTTTTCAAGAGTAAAAATACTCATTCCATTGGCAAACTATCTCATTTATCTACTTAAATTAAGGGTAATTTAGCAAATTTGAACTTATTTCTAGATATTTTTTCCTGTGTTGTGTTTGGCCACAAAAAATGCTTTAAAATAAATTTATTTACCCTTAATTTGAGCAGGAAAATAAGATTTGTTTGCCAATGGAATGAGTATTTTTACTCTTAAAATATGATATTTAGGTAATACCGATTGAAATAAGACGGTGCAGTTGTTTTTTTTCTTATTTTTAGTGTATATTGTACTGTTCCATTGGCAACGTGTCTCACTTACCTCCTCAATTTAAGAACAAATGCCCTTATTTTAAGAAAAAAATGGCTTATCTAGATATTGATGTTTTCCATTGAATTTTATATGATTTCAATCAAGTTTCCTGGGTTGTTTTAAAGCAATTTTGAAGAAAAACTGACCTGTCTAGATTAAAATTCTTTCTGGTTTAGCAATCAATCAAAAGATTCAGGTTCTGACACTGACCCGTTCCAGATTCTGCCTCGCTGAAAAAGCTTCCAGCGGTCTTCCTTCCTGGTTCGCCAAGGATGTTCAGCGGATCGTGGACTTCAGAGAAGGTCGAAGAGAAGGGGCGAAGACTTCCCACGCTGCTGATGACGGACACATGCTGATCAACCAAAGCATTCACTCGCTGGCCGGAGAAGAAGCTGCTGTTGCTATAAAAACCTGCTGCAAAAAGAAAATTTTTGCATGTAGATTGATTCTGGGGTATTAGCATTTTAGCATTAGAACACTGGTTTAATCGGAATGTAAACAAAAATTAGCATTAAAGATAACTACAACAGTAAGAAATTCAAAAGTCATCTCAATTACATAATTTCCCTGAATTAGAAAAAGGGTTTTTTTTGCATCTAAAGAAGAAATTAGAAATGTTATATTGTTACAATCCTTACCGCCATGTCCCAGGACGCCATAGGTCTGTCCCTGACAACCACCACCAGCGAGGTTCAGTCCAGCTCCCATAAACCCAAAACCCTCCGAGGCATCCAGTATCTGAGCCGCTGCCTGTTGATCCATTCCCTGCTCCGACTGAACCGGTTCTGGGCCTGGAGTGTACCTGGAAGGTGGCCGGACTGCCGAACCATAAGCTGTCAGGGAGCAGTCTGCGTTGCCAGATGTAGGGTAAAAAGCTTCCTTATTCAGAGGTGGATCACTGAGGGACGGGTACCGGGGAAGGTGACAGCCCAGAGGGGGATTATGAGTCTGAGCTGCTGACATACAGGGATTCTGAGCCTGGGATCTGTGAAAAGAGACCATGAACATGATCAAAAATCGTATCCTATAGCTTTAGGAAATAGTTTATCCTAATTGTTATAGGTTTGTCCAGCAGTATTGTTTCTGGACCGATTCATGAAATGAATATGGACGACCCTAGTTACAGCGGCTCAACAGGACCATGTTTGAGCATGTTTTGTTATTATAAGGTTCTATTTTTTAACAGACTGCAAAAACAGAAACAAGCCTCTTCCTATTTGTTTTTTTTTTTAAATAAACAGGGCATAGGTCAGTCTGGTAATGCCCTAAACAGTATGGTCTAAACAAACTGAACCAATCTCAGCTCAGGAGCCTGGCCCATCATGCAAAAGTGCTTCTCTGTAACCATAACAGTCAGATTGCATCTGCAATTGAGCAGTGTTTTAAAGATTCCCCTTTATTGTGTCCCAAAAAGAGCAGTTTATTTCTTTAAAATTTTAACAACTGACTCCTTAAAAGCTTTTCTTTGAAAAAAAAAAAATCCGTTTGCACAATGGCAGTAGTTATCTGGTTTGATTCCTCTAAATATTTCACTCCTTTCCAGACTACACTGGAAAAAAATCGAAATCTAGATACAGTAAGTAATTTTTTTCTTAAAATAAATGCATTTGTTCTTGAATTGAGGGGGTAAAAGCGACATTTTGCCAATAGAACAAGACAATTTACATTTAAAATAAGAAAACACAATTGCATTGTTTTATTTCAAGTGCATATTATCTAATTATATCAATTTTAAGAGTAAAAATTAGTGTTGCACCGATACAAGCATTGGATGGGGCCCCGATACCGCCCTAAAATGGTGGTATCGGTATCGGCGAGTACCAACAAATAGGGCATCGATATCATTAGAGCCATAAGTTTATTCAACTATTGTCACCCACTCCTGGTAGGCAATAAAAAGTTCTACTGGATTCACTTTGTATTAGATTTTTTCCTGCTTCACAAAGGTAGGCAGCAGCTTGACAAAGCCATGAAGGCAATTACTTTACATTATTATGGTATCGGTCGCTGCTGCACAGCCAGGTATCGGGGCCAAAAAATGGCATCGGCGCAACACTAATAAAAATACTCATTCCATTGGCAAACTACATCATTTACCCACTCAAATTAAGGGTTAATACAGTTAATTTAAGACATTTTTACTTATTTCTACATGGTTTTTCTAGTGTAATATGCCGCGTACATGACGTAAGTCAGTCTGGCTGGCTGCCTGGCTCATACTGAGCAAAACAAGTAAATTAAAAAAAAGGAGAAAAAAAAGAATGTTCCTTCCTGTTAAACCTAAGTGTTTCCTCTCCACTATGGCCACATGCTTTCTATTTGAAAAGATAGCAACAATGAAGCATACGCTAAAAAAAAAACAATTGGAGGCATTTATTGAGCCTGAACACATGTTTTCATACTGTGTTGGGGGAAAAAACTAACTCCTAATAATTCTCTTTTACAAATATAAATTGATGAATCCTAACTTTCATTCATTCAGGCCTCAGAGCTGCAAAGCTACAAGGTGTCTAAGGCAGAGTTGCTTTTTTTAAAATCTTATTAGGGAGTGTTTGGAATTAAAAATAATGGTTTTCATAACAAACTAGACTGTTTGTCAGGGATTATTTCACAACATTATGTATTTCCAACTGTCTGTCTTTTTTTAGGTAACAATAGCAGGAGAGCTTCACAGCCTTTCTGCAGGGTTTTAATTAGTGAGAGACAAACACTGTCTAAATCAGAGCAGGGCCGAACATCAGATGGTGACTCATAAAAAAATGCAGCCATTTTTGGCATTTACTTTATCATATTTAGTTACTTTAACACAATTGTTTCATGTTAGCAGGGTAGGATATAAAACAATTGTGTTAAAGTAACTAAATATTGTTAAGCAAATACAAAAAGCGGATGCATTTTTTTTCAGTGTATGATTGTCTTGTTCTCTTTTTACTTTGCAAAGTAAAATAAAGTGCGGACTGAGTGAAATCCATGGATCTCCCTTTTGAATAGTTGAATACTTTTTTCACACAACAATTTAGTAAATCTGTAAGTAAATCTAATCCCTATGTCGGTTGATGCTGTCGATCCAATTCTACTTTCAGACAATAGCAAATCTGATTTTTCATTGTTTATATGTTAACATGGCCGACTCAAAAAAAAAACACCCGTATTTCTGATGAAAGCTGACCTGAGAGCAGTTTGGTAGCTCGGAGCCGAGGAGCTGCTGCTGGCGGGGGGGAAATAACCACTGGACTGAGGTAAGCATTGGTATAAGGTGTCCGGGTATGAAGGGCAGGAGCTGGGCTGCGATATTTCCCTGAGAGACGAGAGGCAGGAGGACGAGGAGAAGGAGCATGACAAGGAGGAAGGTGCCAGCCCCCCTGCTGCCATGGGCCCTTGGTTGATGACAGAGCCCCTGTGCACTAATGCAGCAGGTGAGATGGGCGGGGTCATGAGTGGCCCGCTGACCTGAGAGAAGTCCATCTGACCACCTGATAGGGAGTTAAAGAGGAAAAACAGGGAGATTTATCTTCTAGGATGAAAAACTGGAAGCAGCAGGACTCTTCTCCACCTTCTGGATAAATGAGTTCAGATGTTTTCCATGCTTGATCTAAACATATTTTTTTATGTTTACCTGAAGATGAGAAACCAGAACTGTCATTTCCCTGATAGAGGACTGTTTTAGCTTCCAGATCCTGCTGCTGATTGGTGGACAGAGGCATGTAGGCGTGCTCTCCCACAGACTCGTTCTTCACCGATTGGTCGACGGAAGCGGACGCCTTGTTGCGGTTGGCCAGAAAGCAGGAACTGGGTGATGCCATGAATGCTGCTTTACTGGCATCTGAGAGGGATGATCAGACACGACATGTGGTCAGATTTCATTAGGATTTCCCTTCCACTAAACCAAAACCCCCAAGATTTATTTAATAATTTAATGATTCATTAGATCTTAAATAAATTTAATAGATATAGCAAATCTAAACTCTTTTGAAAAAGTAAGTATTGCAAGAAGAAACAAAAAAAAAAAAAATGCCGCTTATGGAAACTTGATATTGTTCAATTTTATTTACATTTAAATGAATTGAAAAGAAAGTATGTTGATTATCGATGCGTCCTCAGAGTATCGAGAGATTTAATTAAAAGTCGTAGGGAAGCAACTATTCCAACCGTTGCATTTCTATATTCCCCCCAAGTGGTGCACGACTTTACACGAATTAATAAATTGAACGTGATTGGTCGTTTATCAAGGGGGCAGGATCGTTGTGGCAGAAGGTTCAAAAGCAAGTTTGATTGTGGCCGGTTTGTCGGAAGCATCTTGCTAACCAGTTAGCGACTTAGTGCTAGTAGGTTCCCAATGGGAAATTTCATTGGGACCAAGTAGCACTAAATTGGTGACTTAAAAACGACACTGTCAAGGAACGCTATGGACAGCGGAAACATGCGAGGGGAGGAGAGTTTAATGTCGGAGGTCGTGGATGAGTCTCCTCCGTCATCCATTTTTTATTTAGAGGAGGAAAGCGGGGACCAAGATGTTGTGGAAGAGGACGCCAGGGCGGTAGAAGCTTGGTTTGGTGTAGAAGGCTTCCAGCCGTACATGTTTGAGCCCTCGCCTCGCAACATATGACATATGAATCAAGATGCTATGACCGAAAACATTTGATTGACAGATGAGCGTTGATATATGATTAACCGAATTTAGGTGTACAAGCTGACGTATAACTAAATGGCCAGAATAAAATAAAAAAAAAAACACAGATTTTAAGACTGGATTTTTTTTTTTTAGATAGAAATTTTCTAACTTTTGGGACAATATGGTCTGATAAAGAGTACATTTATCTACACGTTTAAGCCAAAATGATTTGACAGTTGAATATGATTTCCCTACGACTTTAATGTCAGAGTATAACTGCTGTAAAACAATCAGAAGATAAGCTTGTGGATAACTAGCTGGCAATTACTCCTCTGCTGAAATACATTTCTTTTTACATTTTTCTTTTGAGTTTTTACAGCACTAGTGACTAGAGGGGGAGAGACAAGCGGCAAAGGACCACAGGCCGGATTCGAACCCAGGTCAGCCACGTCGAGGACTAAGGCCTGCATACATGGATCATGTGCACTAACCACTGCGTCACCTGCATGCTCTGCAGAAATACATGTACACCTTTATGGATTCACACCATCCCTCAGACCTTACTGTCCTTTATTTTTAGATGTCTCTATTCCCTGACTGCATTGCCTCCTGTATGGAATACGCTGCTCCATAACACTGTTAATTAACCATTCATGATTCTGTCAGAAGTGAACGAATGATGGGTTAGCTTTAGCTCTAAAAATTAAGAATTGGGGAAATTTTTATGTTACATAAACATATAAACACAAACCCACAAAATCAGTCTAGAAAAGACGCTACGTTCCGGGTAATGGAGATCCATCAGGGCAGTTTCTGGTTATTTCAATACAAAAGTTCCTATGTTCCCATTTCTTTAGTTTGTTCTACAAAAAAATTAACAAAGTCAACACTGCTTCACAGTTTAAACCAGAGTTTGATCCCCAACAAGGTTACTTCTTGTATCCTAAAACAACTTTTATATTTTGATCAGCTGCATATAGGTTTTGCAGTTTTATTTTGTTGTCTACTTGTCATTTTTCCTCCATTTTTCAACCTACAGTGTAGAAGTCTGCTGTATGACAGAATTATTAGAACACAAACCTTATGAGATTTGTACTCTTGTAGTTAGACAAAAATTAGTCAAGTTTTTGATTAGAAAAAAATCCAAAAGTGGTAAAAATCCAAGTCTGTACAGATATAAAACATATTATTAGGAAGCAGCGGCGGTTGTTATTATTGATAGCTGATGATGGATATTCACTGCTGCCCTTTACTCTTAGATTTAGGTTCAATGACGCCTCATACCTGCATTTTTCATGTATTTTTCTAGGAGGTTCTGCAGGTCCTGCTCCTTGTCGTTGTTGAACTGTGTCTCCAGAGCCAAGAGGATGTACTCATCTAACAGCATCCGGATCAGGTGGAAGGAACCTGTCGGCACAAAGAACACAAAGAAGCTCAGTTTACTTTTAAACAGAAGCTGCTGGAAAACTTTTCTCTGTGTTTATTCCAGCCGAGCTTTCACTTGACAGCTCCCTGACCTTTAGAGCCCGACTGCTCTTTGTTTGACCTGCGGGGCCACACGTTTGTGTTTGAGCTTAAGTGGGCCTTCAGAGAGAGCGAGAGCCACCAAATGGTCATTGTTTATTCATGCACACGTAGCCTGTGTGCGTGTGTTTGAACAGAGAGGACGTGAACCGCAGATAAGACGCTGTGTAATCAAAGCGAGTCTGGCCATTACAATTTATGGTGCTATTGTAGCAATCTGCTTTGAGCTGGCTCCTATCAGACCTGCATGTCTCTTGACTGCGGGGACGTTTTTCAACTGTTTCCTTTGTGGTAAACCCTGAAAAATGGCATCAGGACCAAATCTTTGGATCCAGCAGGACACAGTCGCATTCCTGGATCATCTTCCTCTGCTGATTCTGTGCTTTAAGGACAGGAAAGCAGTAGAATATGAAGACATTATGTAACTGCATAAAAAATAAAACTTTAAAGAAGTATAGTACCTTGAAAAAGTGAGGATTTTTTATTCTGTTATATTTATAACAAAGCTTCAACTTTTTTTTATGTGATTTTATATTAAAGCGACACAAAGAAATGCACAGAGCAAAATAGGGAAGAAAATTATTAATTTCTTTTTCTAGAGTTTCATATAATATAACAATAAAATGCAATGAAACAAGATATCTTCAGATATCCAGACAAATAAACGGAGTCCAGTCTTGTTTCGATAACATGACAAAAATAAAAAAGTTTAACCTTTTTCTAGAAGGTTCATATCTGTATAAGGTAGTTTGAAAGGAACGCAATTCGTAAAAATATGGATTATGTAAACATTATTGAACAGAATAATGTCTGAGGAAACAGCAAGAAACTCTAAAACCTTTTTTTGCTGAAAAAGTTTCATTTCCAGACTGCATTTTCTTTTTCTAATTTTCATTTTCAGAACATCTTTGCTTCCAACAACAATGGGACAAAGTTTACCTAATTTATATTTGCCAAAGGGTGACTTTAGTTATGCTGTGTGATAAAGAAATCTTCTACCAGATAAGGAAGAACAAGATTTCTATGATGGATTATTTTTGCTAATTTTTTTGCACTGTGGACCAAAACCCGACAGGTTCAAAGCCCACAGGGTGGTTCTCTTCTTCTACTTAAAAAGGCTAAATAGTTTTAATATAACTCAGCATTTTTATAATTACACCATTAGTAATTTGATAAAAAAGTAAAAAACAAAAATTATAATACGTCTAACAAAAAGGGGCAAAATGTTTGTTTTAATAACTGAAAGCTTTCCAGTTTCCAAACATTTTGGCTTAAATGTTTCTTATTTTGTTGGTCAAGAATATATTTTCAGTCCATTATCAGCAATAAAATTGAGTCTTTTCCCTAAAACCTATACTTAGTAAATGTTAATGAAGACGTGTAAATAACAAGTCCTGGGTTTTTTTGACTATAGAATGAAAATGAAAAGTAAAAAACAGTTCTCAGATGACAGGAATATTTTTGTTTGCATCAAACATTTTTAATTTATTTCATTTTTCAGTTGCTGAGGGAGTGGCAGCCAAGTGGTTAGGGCATACAGCTTGGAATCTGAGGTTCTGAGTTCGTGCCCCACTACCACAGACTGACACTCTGGGTCTCTGAGGAAGACCCTTAACGCCACGCTCCCCAGGCGCCGCACAATGGCAGCCCGCTGCTCCCAAACGGGATGGATTAACTGCAAAGGTAAATTTCTCTAATGTAAGATCAATAAAGTTCAATTATTATTATTTACATAATTATTAGTATCATTTTGGAAGATATTAATTTACCAGTCTATCTGTGTGCATCGGTTCGGTTTGCATGAGGGTCAAATTTGTAGTAATATTAGTCTGAAGCAAGCGGACATTAAAAATTATTCCAGGGATCTGAAATGACCCCAGGACCAGACTTTCAATGTTTTCTCTTATAAAAGATAAAGTTCGTATGCAAAGTCATGCGTAAAGCTTTAAAAAGATTGCCCAAGGATCAAAAAGGAACTCTGAGGGTTTGGATGCTCTTGAGAAAATTTCCTTTGGAAAATAGGTGAGTACTTATTTGCTGCCTTAAGTAGCTTCTTTCTCTTCCCTCTGTTCCAAAACTTTCCCTGCCATCTCTGACCGGCCAGCATCAGTGGTCAGTCCAGAGTTAGTCTAACAGCTGTTAAGCTGGTTTCCTTCAACATTTTCTTTAAAGCATCAGAGTTGAAGTTGACACCAGTTTCATAAATGCCTTTGAGTCCAAATGAAATCTCTTTACAGTTCCTTACCAAAGCTGGAGGCGTTGTTGAGCGTGAGATTGTGCATGACCCGGGCACCAAAGAAGCTCCACCTGAGGAGGAAATCCTGAGCTCTCTTCTTCACAGATCGACCGCACTGCTTGCCAGGCTGATGAAAACACAAAGGCAAGAAAACAAAGACAAAGCAGCCGATTTGCAGATTAATTCTGTGTGTGGAAACCAGGATGCCTGAGTGAACTGCTTCTACCTTGATTACTTTGTGCTCAACCACAGAATCCAACCACTCTATGAACGATTCAACGGTGGCATTTTTTCTCAGCAGCTCCTTCAGTTCTTGAAAGACGCTAATTGAATCATCTGGGTAACGACAAAAAAAAAAAAAGAACACAAAATAACCACAACCACCTCAATAAAAATATGTTTTTATGGGTAATTCTCAATTAATTTGGATAGCTAAGAGTTAAAGATAAACATTTCCAGGATTAAAATGTCAATTTATGTTATTCTGTTAATTATTTTGTGTTTAATTTCAATTTAAAAAAGCCAGTAAAACTTTTCCTCTTAATAGGGGAATAAATTCTATTCAGAGATTCTATTTCAGAAGAAAAATATATACATATTTTTAAATGTATAATTCATTATTTTCACTCAGGACAAACATAAAATACAGCTTGTTACAGGATTTTCTCTAACAAAACCAGAGCCTGTATGACCTCCTTTCATGATTTTACTTCTTTCCATTTTACCTTTGAATGTTAGTATCAAGCATCTTTTATTCACTATTGTTTATATTTTCATAAATTACTCTGTAATGTCTTTATTAACTGATTGTCGATTATTTCCATTACTTACGATTCTTTTATGTATTCTTTACTTATAAAGTCATTTCTGAATCATTTTAACTATTTTTCCATCTGCTTATTTACATAAATACGTTTAGTCATTCATGCACTTCTTTTTTCATTAAATTATCTATTCTTTTATATAGACATTAGCTCTATTAATGAACAAATATATATATTAATATATGTTCGGTTTCCTTTCTTTGATTATTCTGTTTATTTATTTATTTAATGCTAATTCTAAATATCTTTTACACTTATCTAAAAAATTATTTTAAATTATTTACACTTTTTTATGCTTAAACATAACTGGTTCCTTCAAAATACAGCATTTGTCTTTAGATTTACAATGAATTTATGCATTTTTCAGTTCAATTTATCCTAAGATGTGTTTTGAAAAAAATAAACAGTTTTTTGAGGGTTTTTTTTTATAAATGTTTTACCAGAGATGAGAACATTTTGGATTCTTGCCATTTAAGCCACATTAACAGACATAATAAGCAGGAGGTCACAGGTCGTGGGTCTTACACTCAGAGTAAATATCGGAGTCCTGGTCTCCAGCTGCCGACACGCTGAGCAGGGGTTGTGAGTTGATGCTGCTGAGATCAACACTGTCAATGTCCAGAACCATGCTGGTCACTACAGCCTGGTCAAAAAGGGCCGGGCGGGCTATCTGTGACCAAGCAGAAAGGAGTCGGATCATTAGCAGCTGCAAAAACAATCTAGAAATAAGTAAAGATTACTTAAATTAAGTGTATTTACCCTTAATTTGAGTAGGTAAATCAGAGGATTTGCCAATGGAATAAGTATTTTTACTCTTAAAATAAGATAATTAGATAAAATGCACTTGAAATAAGACAATGCAGTTGTTTTTTCTTAATTTAAATCAAAATTGTTTTGTTCCATTGGCAAAGTGTCTCACTTACCTCCTCAATCCAAGAAAAAATACACTTATTTTAAGAAAATGACTTATTAAGGTTTAAATTTTTTGCACTGAGTTTTCAGACATTAGACCCGTTTCTAATACTGCTGTACCTGTGCCAGGTGTAAGAAAGAAGTTTGTCTCTTCAGGGAGGAAACAAAGCGGCGCGCTATGGGCATCTTCTTGGCTGCAAGGCATTCTGGGAGGTTTTCCAGAGAGGAGGCCAACCAGTGTTCCCAGTGCTTGGCAAAGTTTCTGATATCTGCCAATAGACTGACAAACAACATTTAATGTCACTATTTAGCTCTGAAGAGGATATAAAAGTCTTGAAAAATAAGAACTCTGCTGCAAAATGAATGAAGTGTACCTTTCAGGCATCTCCTGCATCGTGGCAGGAATTAAAACATCTGTTAAAACCTGGGAAAACAGCAAATTATCAGCTAGAACACAGACAAATTAAAGCAGAATCCAATTTCCTTTTGTTATAAGCTTATATTTCTACAGTTTTTCCTTTTCAGAGCATAAAATTAAAGTTGTAACTTTTTTACTTTTCAATAAGAGACAGTGCTGCTGCAGTAAAAGATTAATCAGCTAAGGGCTCAGGATGTAGACCCTGGTAGGACAGACTACATGTTGGTGTGAGGTTTGACACTTTAGCACATAAACTAAAGTCTGAAACCTGAAACTAAGTGTCAAACTAAGCCACTTATGGCCCCCAAGACCCTCTGAGGTTGTCTAGAAATATTTACATTTGAATTTTTAAATTTGTTTACTGTGAATAAGCACATAACTACATTTTCCCAACTCCTCCACACTGCAAAAAATTGGAATCTACATCAGTCAATTTTTCTTAAATTTAGGAGGAAAGTGAGACATTTTGCCAATGGAACGAGACAATTTACACTTAAAATAAGAAAACACAATTGCATTGTCTTATTTCAAGGGCATATTATCTAATTATCTTATTCTAAGAGTGAAAATACTCATTCGATTGGCAAACTATCTCATTTACCTACTCAAATTTAGGGTAAATACACTTAATTTAAGAAAGTTTTACTTATTTCTAGATCGTTTTTCCAGTGCATCTACTGCTTTGGACCCACACTGCAAAAAATGGAAATCTAATTAAGCAATTCTTACTTAAAATAAGTGCATTTTTTCTCCAATTCAGTACGAAAGTGAGACACTTTGCCAATGGAACAAGACAATTTACATTTAAAAGAAGAAAAAAATAATTGCATTGTCTTTTTTCAATTTCATATTATCTAATTATCTTATTTTACGAGTAAAGATACTAATTTCATTGGTAAATCATTGTATTTACCCACTTAAATTAAGGGTGAATACACTTAATTTAAGAAATGTTTTACTTATTTCTAGATCATTTTTGCAGTGCACATGGCAAACCTTAAAATTTGCCCCACCCTACATGCAAAACAAATGAAAATGCACCCCACCAGACACATGTTCACCATAGATTTTGAATGCAAAAGATGTCCTTGATGCTCAAATCTCTATCAGGATGAATGCAGCCTAAGTAGTGGCAATAGGTGTCTGCAGCTCTAACTCCATGACATGTTCACATAAAGAATTTAATTATATAATACTAACTGAATGAAATGCTATGAAATCAAATTTGTACATGTTGAAGTATTTTATGGAAACCTTGTAGAGAATAGAGTCACAGACGCAGAAGATGTCGACTATAATCGGGTTTTCAAGCAGAGGCAGCAGGTGGTCGGGCATTCCCTGCCAGAAGTGGAGCAGAAAGTTCTGGATCTGAACAAAACATAAATAAAAGTCTGTTTTAGTGCAATTATCACCTTTAAAATGTTTTATAAAGTCCTGCTAAATGATGTGTGATAACCTCATCAAAGTTGACGTTGATGGCGTTGTCCAGGATGCACTGACAGTGTGTTTTATACATCATGATCAGAGTGTCGACCTGTAAGATAGGAGAGAATATAATCGTCTTAAATCTAGAGGCTTCACACTAATTTAAAACAATCTAAGCAAGGATTTATGGAGGATTCTGAAACATTATTCAATAAAACAAAATAACAAATCATTCTGTGTAAAGAAACGCATCAGCGACCTTTTCTCTGGAAATATTTCCCTGCAGCAAAAGATGCTGGGCGCTGGGGAAGTCAGGGAGCAGGGTTCCAGTTTTAGAGCTCAAAGAGTATTTCCTGGTAAAGCCACCCTGCAAAACAGTCATGTTTAGTTTAGTTTAGTTTATCAATAAATATATATCAAATAAAATAGATATAGGGAACAAAAATTGGTAAAATGGTGTCTAAAATGTGTAAAATCTTAGCTAATACAATTTAGTAATCTCCAATAATAGTAAATTAACGGATCTCATTCCTTGCCCATTTTTATGCGATCTGTATTAAACTATGAATCTGAGAGCGTTTTTGCTTCCTTATTTTAACCAAATATAAGATTGTTCATATTAAAACGAATTAAGCATCCTGTCAGCAGTAAATTATTTATACCTGCAGAGGTTTGCGACTGAAAATTTGCCAACTCAAAAAAAAGTTTGCTTCTGGTAAAAGAAATGAGGCAAGCATCTCTCATAAAAATGAACCAGCATTCTAAAAAAAAAAAAAAAAAGTATTGTCTTTATTGTATTAACGCTGTAAAGTATTCACACCGTTGAAATCCCACTTTTCTTTATTTATATTTCTCATAATTCTTATTCTAGTTTGTATTATGATTATAAAATATATCCATAATCTCCTTGATAAAATAGACGGAACACTTCTTTCTTCTAGTTCCTGAGCTTTTTTTTTTTTTGCATCTTTCAGGTGATGTTTATTTATAATTTATTTACAATTACTTTTTACAACTACTTTTCCTCAAAAGATGATCAATCTTTCTGTTTCACTTCAAGTATGGAGTGATTTTTTTTTCCATTATTGTTGCATGCAAAGAGCATGCATTTTTTATTCACATTTTATTTTTTTAATTCATTTTTCCAATGTATCTTTTTCAGGTTGAGCTTTATGAATTGCATTCTTTTACAGTTAAATTTCACAGATTATAATAGATGTTAGCAACATTTGTATAAGGCTTGAAGAGAATGATTGCTATCTTTTAGAATGCACTTTGTAAAACACAATTTGAAAAAGAGAAATAAAAAAAATTTAAGAATATAACATATATAAAATATATTTATACATAAATTTATAGAAAAAAAGATCTGTGAAAACAGCAAAAGTTACTGTAAATATGACATGTTTTGAAGATTTATTTTTAGATTGCATTCTTCTCCTGATACTGTTTAAAAAACGTGATCATTGCTTGTAACAGTAATGGAACAAAATTCATTCCATAGGGTATAAGTGAAGAGAATCTGATATTTTGTCTACTTTACATTCAGTCCAAATTTTCCCAAACATAACTTTGATTGGTTCACTGTGAAAAACGATCTAGAAAAAAGTAAAAACGTCGTAAATTAAGTGCATTTACTCTTAATTTGAGAAGGTAAATGAGATAGTTTGCCAATGGAATGTGTAGTTTTGCTCTTAAAGTAAGATATTTGGATAAAATGCTCTTGAAATAAGACAATGCAATTGTGTTTTCTTATTTTAAATGTAAATTGTCTTGTTCCATTGGCAAAGTGTCTATTTTACCTTCTTAATTCAAGAACAAGTGCACTTTTTTAAAGAGAAAATTACGGAAGAGGACTAGGGCCACTGAAAAAAAAAAAAGGTTAACTGATTTTTTTTATTTTATTTCAGTATAGTATGGGAAAAAAGTCAGAATTCTGACTTTTTTCTCATAATTCTGACTTTAATCTCAGAATTCTGACTTTTTTTTCTCAGAATTCTGACTTTTTTTTCTCAGAAATGTGACTTTAATCTCAGAATTCTGACTTTTTTTTCTCAGAATTCTGACTTTTTTTATTGTCAGAATTCAGTGAGAATTCTGAGATTAAAGTCAGAATTCTGAGAAAAAAGTCAGAATGTTAAACTGAAATAAAATTTAAAAACCTTTATTTTCTAACCCTAACCCTAACCTGTTTTTTCACAAACCTAAGGGTGAAATAATCCAGATTTAACTTCTGGAATTATCCCAAATTATACCTTTCTGTGAAAGGGGAAAAGTGGAAAGCATTATATTGGGGTAAACAGATTACCTCGTTCTTGAGCTTGCTCCCTGAAAATCTGCAAAAAAGTGAGATCAAAACCAAAAAAAGAGTAAAGAAAAACCTTTAAGATGTTAAATAGTTTTTTAAATTATCCTGGATTATTAGCAATACAAAACACTGATAGGGAAAATTAAACTCACCTGGTTAAACCTTTACCCGAATACACGGAGTGATAATAAGCGCTGCTTTCTTTGATCCCAATTCCATAATAATGATATCTGGGAAGGTTCGAACTCAGGCATTATTTTACATAAAGTTTGTTGAATTTCTGTCAAAGCTTTTCTAGAATGTTAATTTCCTTCTTACTTGGAGTGCCCTCTGGTGCCAAGTCTTCTTGTTGTTAGAAGGGGAAACTTTTGCCGGATCGTCTGATGAGAAAAAGAGGAATACGATTGCTGAAGATCAAACTGGAGATCCAAATTACGGATGATTTGGACATCAGTCCAACTGATTCTTAATATTTGGTATTTTGGGGCAAATTTTTGAAACCAATATTGTTTTTTCCTTCCACCATTTACATAAAGAAAAAGATGTAATGATGGCAAATAAGTTTAAATTGAAACAAAAATTAAACATTTGTGAACAATATAAACATTAACGACGGAAAGCAAATGGAGGGAGCGGCAATGCATGATCACCTGATCTCGAGGCTTAGCTTCTAAATCCACTAATGAATCGATGAAAGCACGCATATCTCAGACAATCACAATGGAAAAAATCTAAATCTTAATAAGTCATTTTTTCTTAAAATAAGTGTATTTCTTCTTGAATTGAGGAGATAAAAGAGACATTCTGCAAATGGAACAAGACAATTTAGATATAAAATAATGAAAACACAATTGCATTGTCTTATTTCAAGTGCATATTATCTAATTATCTTATTTTAAGAGTAAAAATACTCATTCCATTGGCAAACTATCTCATTTACCTACTCAAATTAAGGGTAAACACACTTAATTAAAGATATTTTTACTTATTTCTAGATTGTTTTTCCAGTGCACAAAGAAGAAAAAAAATGCTAATATCAGAAAAAAAATATCCAAATTTATACTCTTAAGTCAAAAACTGCTTTTTATGTAGATGGTGAAGAAACAAATTCAAATTCAAGCTTTTATATGTTGAAGATATAGAGGGTGGTCTTTTATTTTCGGATGGATCATCTAATTAAGTGGTTCTCCTAATTGAAATTATCTTTTTCTGCGCATGCAAACTTTGAGGCGTATATCTGTGGTGAGCTACGGTTTCAGGAGGTCATTGAAGTTCACCTTTCTCACCGCGGTTCTTTGAAAATGGTCATAAGAGAATAGGTGTCTACGAAGTGTGTGAGAAGAAAAGAAAGGCCTCAGAAGAGGCAGATATATCCCAGAATGCTTTGCACTCTCCTCGCAAAGCATTATTGGATTTGCTGTCACAGCAGCCAGCTGTCGCCATAGGCTGTTGCTACCTGACAGCAGCGACCAATAACAAAGTTGCCGCAGGCACAGCAAAGTTGAGTAGGTGTTACGTGACCAACGGGGAGCAAAAAGTAGCCTGTCCGCACGGTAAGTTAACTGAGTTCGCTATAAAGTCCCAGCTCTATATAGTGATTAAGGGATTTAGGGGTTAGGGCGGACGTTCGTAGCCTGACTCCGCCAGATGGATTTGCTCCGCATATCCATCCTGGAAACCTTGCGTAGAAGTAATTTTGGGAAGGGGTGAAAATACTGGTTAGCTGATTGGCCTATGCTGGTGATAGACGGGCCAAATAAACCAATCAGTCAACAAAGCATATGACGTAACAGAGCGACGACAAAGAGGAGCCAATTGATAGATCAAACTCTTGCCGAAACCAGTCGGGAGAAGAGCAAAAACATCTTTTCCTCTGAGAAAAGCCTCCAGAGCAGTGTTTTGCTCTTCTTTCAGTGAAGAAATACTCTGTAATTCCGATAAAACTTGCTCGATAGCCACGCTAACGCTAGTTTCATCGGCTGAAGCCGCCATGTTCTTTAGACTGAACTGTCGCGCTTCTCGTTGCGTCACACCTCAACCCGCCTCAAAGCCAACGCTGATTGGACGTTCGTTTGGTGAACGGCTCCAAATTTTCTCCAACGGAGAGTCTCCAGACTGATTAGCGAGTGAAATCTTGAAAGCTCGCGAGATCAGGATGGTCTCATGAGGCTAGGACGTTCGGGCATAGCAAGCTTGTATGATCTATGAGAACGGCAACTTTTAAACAGAGCGTGCACGAGGAGAAATGGCCTCCTACATGCTTGTGCACGCGTTTAATAGGCGTTCCCTCCCTAGAGCGGGTACAGGGTCATGCATGTGCATTTTTTTAAGGTGGAGAGGGCAGGTCTTTTGAAAAATACACAAAACTCCTCCACAATACCTTTAAGAAAAACCCTTAAGAGTCATTAAAAACTAACACTGTATTAAGCATAGACTAAATAAACCAACATGTTTAAGTACAGCACGGTTCAGTTGGAGCTTTTGCAGCATAGCATCTTATCTGTGTTTCATTTTGTGGAGCTCAATGCAGACTTTAGAACAGAGTTCTTCATATGCATCCTCAACATTATCTTAGGTGGATATCTGGTTTTCAGCTGTTCCACTGCAGCAATTTGTAGCCGGGGTGTTTTAGCCAGATTTGGGAATCACTGTCCCTCTCTGAGACGAGCTTCAGATGTCAGACAGGCTGCTTCCCCATCAACCAAGTTGAAAAGACATTGAAAAGATGACATGATTTACATCCAAACAGCGTCTACGTTTGCTTGAAAAGTGAAGGGTGAAAAGCCATAAGGTTGAAAACTGTGTGTGAAACTTCTAATCAATGTCTATTGTTGGACTAAAGTGTGAGAAAATCAGACCGACCAAACAAAGACAAATTTTCAACAAATATTTCTGGACTAAATCAACAAGATTTAGCCTTAAAACCAACGTCTAAATGACGCCTGGTGTTTGGGCAGGGTCACATTTGATAGGTCTGCATCCCTCCACCACCGTGCCCAACAGCTGGTTTAAGGCCCCAGTTGAAGAGCAAATTGTTCCAGATATACTTTGCTTCTTTGCAAATTTAAGCAAGCAGGCATGATTTCTTTTTTAAATGAGCCTTTTATTCCTCCCGTTTCATCAAGCCAAGTCTGCTCTATAAAATCTTCAAGGTTTTCCTCGTTCAAGTCGGACTTTAGGGTTGATTTCTGAAATGCTAATTTCTGGTTTCCGAAGTAATCATTAGAGCATAATTGATATAAAATGCATTTAATTGATAGCTGCTAAAGCAGAAAAGTTGGACTTTGTTGTTCAGACATTGTTTATTGTTTTGGCCTATTTTTTTTATCAGAGCAATTTAAAATTTTACATATAACTACATGAAGCCTTACATTTTAAGGAGTTGTAGATTTATAAATAAAATAGACTAAACCGAATGCCTCAAATAAAAGCAGTGATAAGATAAGCTTACTTTGCTTTCCTAACCATTTATTTCTCTTATCACATTTCACTGCCTTCCGGAAAATTGAACCCACCTTTCCAAACGTAGCAGCGCAGGCTGGCTCTAGTTTCTCTTTTCTGCAGAAGTCCAGATAGTGAGCGTAAAGGATACAACGAGGCAGACACACCCCTTCACACACGATGTAGTTCTCCTCAAGCCTATAGCCAGAAAAAACGAGATAAACTGATAAGAAGACTAAAAAGAGTAAACCAGTAAAAAAAAAAAGTTACCCCAACCAGATGTGTTCCTGCATAGAATCAAACCATTTTCTAAATCTTTGTATCACTGCAGCTTTTCAGACTACGGAAGAGGATTAGGGCCACTAGAAAAAAAAAACAAAGTTAACTGATTTTTTAATTTTATTTCAGTTTAACATGGGAAAAAAAGTCAGAATTCTGATTTTTTTCTCAGAATTCTGACTTTAAACTCAGAATTCTGACTTTTTTCTCATAATTCTGACTTTTTTCTCCAAATTCTGACTTTAATCTCCGAATTGAGATGTGGAAGCGCTCAGCATCACTGACAAAGATGGGCCAGTGACACAATGGTGGAAAATGACGGAATTAGGCAACTTTTTACGTGCCCGAGGAGTCCCCTCATTAACGGAGGAGCAGAAGGTCATTAAAACAAGAGAGCTAGTCTCTAAAACAGACATGGCTATGGCTTGATGCTAACATGTTTGTTAGCTGTCTAATTCTGAGAAAAAAAGTCAGAATTCTGAGAAAAAAAGTCAGAATTCTTAGAAAAAAGTCAGAATTCTGAGAAAAAATTCACAATTCTGAGAAAAAATTCAGAATTCTTAGGAAAAAGTCAGAATTCTAAGGAAAAAGTCAGAATTCTGAGGAAAAAGTCAGAATTCTGAGATTAAAGTCAGAATATTAAACTGAAATAAAATTTAAAAGTCAGTTAACTTTTTTTTTTTTTCAGTGGCCCTAATCTTCTTCCATATCAGACAGTAATGACCAGAAGATTTGGGTGTCTGTATGAAATGATAGTAATAGCTAAACTGTAACACAACATTTAATAAAACCCTATGGTGTTCCTCTGAGATGATAACTTGGATCATTGTCTGAGGCATGTGTAGCTAAAACTAGAGATTTAAACACACTGTATTAAAATATAATTCCCGGTGCATGTTGGGCTCCTCCAGGGCTGCTCTTTGCCACCGGTTCTGTTCATTACATTTATGGAGAGAATTTCTAGGTGCAGCGAGGGACCAGAGGTTTGGAAACCTCAGGATATCATCTCTACTGTTTGCAGATCATGTCGTCTTGTTGGCCTCATCAAACCAGGACCTCCAAAATGCACTGGAGCAGTTTGCAGCGTGTGAAGCGTGGGCTACAGTATGGACTTAACAATGCAGCAAACATTAAAAAACAGACCCAGGAGACCCTGGATGGATGGATGGATGGATGGATGGATGGATGGATGGATGGATGGATGGATGGACGGATGGATGGATGGACGGACGGACGGACGGACGGACGGACGGATGGATGGATGGATGGATGGATGGACGGATGGATGGATGGATGGATGGACGGACGGACGGATGGATGGATGGATGGATGGACGGACGGATGGATGGATGGAAATATAATTTAACAAAACATATGCAGAGAAAACATGATGTTAACTCACCGAGGCAACATCTTTACGCTTTGCCACAAATATGTGTTCAAATCTGTGACGCTGTGTTTTCGGATCACCTGCCTGTTTTATTCACTATTACTTTGACACCTACCGCAGTTAAAACTCGCGCTGCTGCTCGGCGCTGTCGGATTATTAACCCCTCCACTGCCACTCATTTCTCTACTGCTTTTCTTCAACTCTGTGAATCATCTGACTTCCTCCACTTTGATACAGAAGAGCTCTGGTCCTGGTTCTATTCTTCCTGTCAAACCATCCTGGACTCGGTTGCTCCATTAAAAACCAGGCACCCCAGGATTAAACCTGAGCCTTGGTTTAATGACAGAACTCGTGCTGCAAGGAAGGAATGTCGTCGTGTTGAACGCAGGTGGAAAAAGGATAAACTGCAGGTTACTCTTCAGATTTTAAAAGACAGTTGG